AAGTAGAATATTATTGTACAGTTAAATTTCTAACACAGACTGAAATTCGTTGAGAAATTTTTTTTAATTAAAGTTATATGTAATGCTCAAGTGTTTTGCATGATTCTCTATAAAATTTTAAAATTAAATTTTAAAATTAAATAAAATTAAATTTTAAAATTAAATTTACATTTTTAAATAAAATAGAGATTTATCAAAACAGACCATTATTGTTCGCTACTCATCACACAAGCATGGTTTTGACACAAATGTATAATAAATGAATCCAAGGAGTGACTTGCTGATGGGTGGAAAATTTGTTTATTGACTTCCAAAGTCTTTATCTCAGTTAACAGTTTTTGGAACTTTGAAATTTTCCATGCATATACTACTTTGAACAAAATGATTGGTCGAAGGCTTATTCTTGTGCTATTGAGTCATCGAACAAAATTTAGCTTTGTACCAAGTGATATTTTAAGACTAATTTATTCTGAGTGAAGATTTACAGTAGAAAATATGGATAAACTGATATTTTTATTGAATTATTAATATTTAATGGTATAACTTAACAAAGGTCAATTATGATTATATCGACGTAAACTTATTTTTGTTCTTTGATTCAAAAATGAAATAATGAGCCTTGGAACAATTCTATTGGTCCAAGTAGTATACGCATGGGACTTTTTGAACTTGGATCTAAAAATAATTTGATATATATTTATAAAATAGATGTGGTATGGTGAAAAAATTTTTACAGGTGCTTAAAAATGTTGCTTTTTTTAATTAGAATTTGTAGAAAAGATTTCAGCAAGATTGCATGATAAATAAAAAAAATTATAAATTTCAGTAGGGATCTACGTTAATGAAAGATTCTATTTCTAAATGTACTTATAAACACTGAGATAAATTTTTAGTCATATTCTTCACGTGACAAATCCATAATTTATTCCTAATAAAAACAGTTTTTCAGAAGGATATATTAAAGTGTATTTTTCTACTTTTTTCTTATAGCTATCATAAGAACCCACGTTGGAAGTTGAATTTTTATTAATTATAACTTAAATACTAGATGGTCAATTGTTTCCAAATTCTACAGGTTTACTAACCAATATTTAAATTAATTTGAAGCCGACTTTTCAGCAAATTATGACTGTTTTAAGGTAGTCCAGTTAAATCAAAATACCAACTCGAGTATAAAAAATTATTTATTATTACATTGTATGTTTAAAATATCAGTCGCATTCAATAAATAACCGAAGCATGTGCTTTTACTACTTGAGTTATTATTTATTCGTATTAATTTGTCTAAACTTTCTATTCAAAAAGTTAATTCTTAAAAAAAAGAAGCAGTCTAATCTCACCTTTGAATATGGGAGTAAAAATACTTCGAATAGTAGTTTTACTCCCTAATTATTCGATATTTACTGTAAGCAATCATGTTTCAAATCGTATTCATTATCTATCTTTAATTTTTTATGAGAATCCCTTGGGCAGAAGTGTATTCAATTACAAGTTACCATCTACACGGAGTCAGATCCATGACGGCCTGTGTTGCATATAATACTTTAAAAATTCAAATACCCAATGACAGTTTTTGAAATTTTACACTATTTAAGTGTTGCGAAAAAATCTGTTGTACTTTATTTCATAGCTGGACTACCTTAATTTTCCTATAGTGCTACTTTCAGTTGATGTTTTGATTAAGATTTAATACTTAATAATTTAAGAATTTTCTTCTAATTCTAATTCAACCTCTCATGATCAATTAAAGGAAAAAATTCTTGGTGTTAAAATACGAACTTTTAAGGATGATTTTAAGTTTCTAAGGATGTGTTTGTATTTTCCATAGGCCCGACGTATAAACGGTCAAGAACGAAATATTATTAAGTGTCAAAAGAGATTCGTAAAGAACATGTAGATTTTTGTTTGTATAATAGAAACAGCGTGGCATACAGTGAAATGAGAGAGTGTAAGAAAGTAGAGCAACCTGACGGAACTTCCGCTAAAATTCCAAAGAAAATTCTGCTTTAAGTTTTAGAATGTTGTACATACAAGATGTAGGTTAAAGAAACTAAACATGAAAAAATTCCTTGTTTTGAATTTTATTGCCAATTAAAACTAGGTAAGTGCGTTTACGCTAGAGACCCTGGGACATACAATATATGTGTTTGTGATAAACATAAAAATTTGAAACTTAAAGCAGCAGCAGGTAAGATAAAAATGTATATGATTACATAGAGCTCATTGTAGTAGGTGTATCCTCTATTCATACTAAAAAATGTATGCTAGAAGAGTGTGACTCATGCTCAGAAAGAGATGAAATCCGTGAATTTTCAACGAATATAGAACGATATAGAACACAGAGAGTTCATTCAATACTAGAATGATACTGAAAGAGTTTGAAGAAACTTATGCTAAGCTTATTGATAACGTTATAGAAAACGTATGGAACGTCAGAAAACATTTTATAAAATGCGAATAAAAAAAGTATTATAGTGATTGTAAAAAAAAATGTAGCAAAAGGAATTGGCGCGATTGTCATGGACTTTGAAGAGAATTATTCAATTATCTGTAGAGATTTTGCTCAGGAATTCTAATTCAACAATACACAAGTATTATTATTTATACCAACTCTATACTACAAAAGTGAAAATAACAAGGACATACATATCGCCAGTTATTGTGTTGTGTCAGATTCCATGAAATACATTTTTCAGTACATGGATTTCAAGAAGCAGTAGTCAAAACAATCAAAACTGAGTTTCCCTGCATAGAAAAATTGATTTATTTTTCAGATAATGCACCGACTCAATTCAAAAACAAATGAGAAATATTCTAAAAATAGTTAGTGACGCATTGTTGTTTGATCTTCAATTTATTAATTTATGATTTCTTTTCAGAAATAATTTTATGAATATCTTATAATCTCTCTTTTAATGTTTGTATGATTTAAAATAAAATAATGACTATTGATATATTACGAAAAAATAGAGCACATCCATGGAAACGTTGATTTTTTCTGAAAAAAAAATTTATTATTGATATGAAGGCACATGGTTTTAATCAACGTAGTTATGTTCAATCAGTTCTACAAGTTGTAAATCTACTCGCATGACACATTTTTTTTTAATGCTCAACAAGTTTCACGAGTAAAAATCGAATTTATTCATAAAATAATTTATTTTACGGATTAGTCTACATTTTTATTTTAATAGATCAATTATTATGGTTAATCATGAAACATAAATGAAAATAATGAAAAAAAAAATAAAAGTTAAAAATTATCCGAACCCATGAGGGTAGAATTATAAAATAAAAGAGCTAAACTTCGACTGATGCGCTTATTTTGTGGTAAGATTTCAAGTCCATTGTTGTTTTCGATGAAAGGTGCATGTAAACATTGGTACGACCCAAGTTTGATGAAAATATAGAGTCGTTTAAAGCAGTGATTCGAGCATGACAACTTTTATTAGTTTGAAATGTACTCGTATTACGGCATACATATATACCTAGTCACTCACACAAACAGACAGAAACATATATTCACATGTAACACGTTCATTTCATTAATTCGAGCTCGTAATTCGCGAATCAAATAAAATAGCCCAAATAACATCACGTCACTAATTATTTATAAAGGGGAGGGTACGAAAGGTGCATTCGTTTCGCCGCGGAAGGCGTCGATGGGCTCTCGTCGTCTAACAATCCTAAATGCTGCAATTATGAGACAGGCAGTGAAACAGGAATTATCGAGAATTATTTGTCCATTCATATTATTTATTCACTATTCGTTAATTACAATGCCCCGATGCGGTTCGATTACAGGGGCGTGGTGTATCATGAGTTCTTGCCACAGGGTAGTACGATCAATAAGGAATATTACCTGTAAGTTATGTGCAATTTGCGCGAAGCAATCAACCAGAAACGTCCGGATTTGTGGAAGAACAAAAACTGGCTTTTGCACCATGATAACGCCCCTGCTCACACATCGTTGCTTGTGCGCGAATATTTGGCCAAAAACAACACAGTAATGGTGCCGCAGCCATCCTATTCCCCAGACCTGGCCCGTTGTGACTTTTTCCTGTTCTCAAAACTGAAGAGGCCCATGAAAGGACGACGCTACGCCACGATTGAGGAGATAAAGATGGCATCGAAGGAAGAGCTGAACGAGATCACTAAAAATGATTTTTTAGGAGCTTCGAGGATTGGAAAATGCGTCGGCACAAGTGCAATATATCTGAGGGGAATTACTTTAAAGGAGATAAAATAGATATTCATGAATAGATAAATAATTTTTGAAAACACAAAATTCGCGATACTTTTTGAACAGACCTCGTATTTATAGAAAAAAATATCACTACGTACTTTCTTAATATTATTTTGCAAAAAAATCTAGTAGGAATTATTTTATTTTTTAATTAAGAAATCAACTATTAAAACATATTTTTATTATTAAAACTAATTGCGTGCTTACTCTTAAGATGCAGTAAATATACTACTCAAAATATCACTATAAATTAGACAAAGCTAAAAAAATATAAATTAGGCTAAGATTCTTTTCAACAAATAAAGAAAATATATAGTTTTTTATTTTTTCTTTTCATCTTATATATTATAAAAATTGATCTAATATTTTTCAAAATGAGTAAGTTCATACCCAATTGTGAGTTTCAACGACACGCGCATATCTCATATGTCTTCGGATACATGCCTGAGTATAGAAGAGAAAATGGCGTCGAGATTGGACGGGAAGTGGGAGAAGCGAGAGGACTGACGGTTTGAGTTAATATTTTCAGTTATCCTTCATCTTCGTTTTTTATCTATTTATTCCCTATTATGTATACTGAATCGGTAATGGATTATAAAAACAAACCGTTTCACAATGTTTATATTAACATGATAAATATTTCTTAATGTCTTGGATTTATTATGACGCGGATATTTAATATTCTGGATTCATAAATAATGAATTATATTAGATATTAGATATTATGAAATTAGGTAATAAATATATAACTTACAATTTCGTGAGCTAATCTAGAGATTTCCTTAACGGATTCCACCATATTAGTTTGATAATCAACAAATGATTCCATATTTTCCATCGTAGAATTTCTATTACCTTCTAATCTAACCATTGCTCGATTTATGGATTCTATTAATCCTGTAACAATGCCATTGGATATTGATATTGTTTCTAGAGTATTTTTCAGTTCTAGAAGAGATTCTTTCGTAGAATCTATACTATCATCTATTTCATTATGAATATTTGTGGCTTTAGGATTTCCGCCACATTCTTTTGTTGCATAGACCAATTGCAGTATGCATTCTATGACAGTTTTGGTTTGATCTAATAATATAGCTTGTTGCTTTGATTGAATCATATGAGATGCAGATCCTATCGCTCCACTAACTAATGAATCACAGTACAGTAAAATGTGCGTTACAATATGACCAATATTTTCTGCTTCATATTTAGCAGCATTATGCAAAAATTCCAGCCTATCTCGTAATTCGGAGATGCTATTATTCATTTGATCTGAAAATCCTTGAATAGTATTTTCTCTTCGTACATGCATTGTCTGAGAAATTACATTTAAGGATGCTGTATTTAAATCTCGTATTTTGATACCAAGTTTTTGAATAGCCAAGTCACACTCTTTTTGACCAGGAGCTTTATCTCGAATAGAAGATACTAATGCTTTAATGGAGTCACTAACATTTTTGCTATTATTTGCTAAAAGTTGCCAAGTTGGAGGATCTTTTGGAGTAACTGCAAGACTTTTTGCAGCAATTATCATTGCACAAGAACCAGTAATAATTGATTTTCCGGCAGAAATGATAGGTTCTTGTGAATTTCTAGCTAAAAGAGATATTTTAGCTGGTTGACTAATGAATTCAGGAGAACTAGCAAAGACACATAAATTATCAACGGCATCTAACAGAGGCTTAGTAGGAAATATTGATTTCGTTTTATTAAAGTCTAAATATTCAGTATCAAGAGCTTTTATTTCTTTAACCAAAATAGCTGTAGAATTAGCAACGTCTTTAGCTGATTGAACAAATTGTCGCTTAGCAATAGGATTGCTAGTTTTACTAGATGCAAGCCTGCAAATATTACATAACGCACTTGTATGTTTTGCAATAACTGTTGCAGCTGAAAGAATGTGTTGTTTTGATGAAGTGGGATTCTCAAGACTTTGACAACTCAAATGTATGGATTGAGCAGCTCGAAAAAAATATGATTGATCAATTAATCCTGGTTTCCCAGCTACTGAAGTAGGATCACCAACTCCTGCTAGATAAGCTGCTTGAGCAGCTGCTTCAATCAGACCACAAATAGAGGTTGAAACTTCTCTTATAGCTAACGAAAACTGCTCGTATTCTGATTTTTTAGCAAAATTAGCAATACCTGTCATACCGTCTCCTAAACTTTTACTTTTTTCCATAACCGTTTCAAGACATTCAAAATAAGATGTATCTGAGATTGGTTCATTTGGATTATCTAACAATGAAAGCATAGACTCAATATTTCTTATTGAGTTATCACAATCTATTTGTCCTGGAGCTGCTGATATACAAATATCTAATAATTGATTGATAGAATCAGTTAATGTCCGCGCTGCAACGGATAATTGATTCTTACAGTTTGGCGCATCAGAATCGGCTAAAATAGCTTTAGTAGAAGATAAAAATTTTAAACAATTTTTACTGATGTTTCTCAATGAATAAATTACTTGTAATCTTGTTTCATTTGTCGTTTGTCCAGCCATTTTTAATGCAGTATCCATAACTTCTCCGTAAGAATTTACAAAGGTCTTCAAAGAATCAACTAAAACTGTTGGAATCCATTTTGATGCATTAATAGAAGAAGAAGCTTCATGAAGATCTTTGGCGGCGCAATTCAAATTCCTTTGTAAATGTCTGTAAAATAAGAAAATTGTTATTAGTATTTATACGAAGCGTTCTCTGCGTAAATCATAGAAAATAGGAAAAAATGAATTATAGATACAAATGCTTACAATACAAATAGTGTTAAATATTAATTTTTTTTTATTGTGTATTGATTAGTGTGACCGCACGAATAGCAAATTGTTCAAGGACTACAGTGTAATGCTGGCAAAGCTAGAGAAAATATCGTAAGGAAAAGTTAAACAAAATTCAACCTCAGGTAATGATAGACGTTGATCTTCATTACCTATCGATAACTTCAACAGATTCTGTAGTTTCGAATGTAATGGTTTTATTTGGCTGGTTTTAATGTTACTCTTATCTGCCTCTGCACTTCAGCTTTTTTATTGACAATATTGTGGATTGAGTGTGGTTTCTCGTATGTGTCAATTGTTGCACAAATGTGTCATTCATAACCACTCACTCTCAGCACATGTTCTTCAAGGATTTCGGAATAAACAACAATTATAGAATAAATATACTTGGAATTACTAGTTGCATTTATGTAGTTAAGAGTATTGATTTCTCAAGAGAAAGACAAAAAAAATAAACCAGGAACTTAACTAGTTATTGAAAAAGAGTTGTGCGATTTGGGCACGATGCCCGAGCTAGACTAACTACCGTTGACAAAGAATGATTCGCCAGAACACTAATTTCCCCACCTTAGTTCATCGCGAATAAAAGACATTTGATATTTGTCGAGTGGAGGTAGTGTGCTTCGCTCTTGTCGACATTCGTGCAGGTGAAATCGTTTTACGTCTAGACCGCACTCGCAAATCAATTGTGATTTTCACATTATTTAATTTCGCCTGCCTTTGCCACTTGACTCCGTGAGAGGACTTTTTTGGGAGCTCTTCTACAAAGTCAACAACAAACACATATGAACTTACGGTGTCCTTATGTCGACCCAGTCTGTGTCAGCCTTATCAAGACGTAACATCATAGCCTAATTTTATTCTAATTATTACAAGATGTCATTTTAACTTCTATATTTAACACTTCAGAGATTTATATCTGAAATCCGTTCTTAGTCAAAAACGTGATACTTTTCAAATCTGACTAAAGGAAATTGGTCAGTAAACTTACTTATTTATGAACTTTCATTTGTAAATCAGAGCTCACTTAGTTCGGACGTGAGATTAATGCTCTCCAAAACTCAAGCGACTGTTAGAGTATATAGTTAAGTGTTATAACGGGGTTTTAGCTAACTCGTCGTTATAATCGAGAGGATAAATTGATTGACAGCTCGGCTTTACCAGTTACGAATGCCACGAGGCTAGTACGCTGGTGCACGTGTGGCCAAGCCCTTCAACTAGCCACAATGTCAAGCAGCCTCGTGGCCCGCGTAGAGCGTCGCAGGTAGCAGTGGCTAAAAAGCGCGAAAAGTAGCGACGAGCGCAGAGAATTCGCTAGGGATAGGGAGTGAGAGTCGGGTGCAAAGTCAGAGAAGCACAGAGGATAAAAAGGGTAAAAATAATTTATATAAAGCATCCAAAGGAAAGCATACAGAGCAGTAAGTCGGCAAAGAGAGAGAGAAGCGGCAAGCTAGCAAGAGAGAGCTAGACGAGTCGGTACTTAAATACAATGGCAATGGCCAGGCCCTCTGTACAATGAGTATTCGCTCGCCGAACGGCGTTCCCGGACGCCGGATGCAGTGGTGAAGAAGCGAGGGACTGCCGAGCACTAGGCTCCAGCACGCGCACACCACTCTGTCAAATCGCCGCACCACTGTACGCACTCGCAAACAATCCCAGGCAAAGCCAGGCCGAAAGTCCAAGCAGTCCAGTAAAGAGAACGAAGTTGAGGAACGCTAAACCGCGGCAGCTGCCCAAGCAGGAAAAAAAAAGGGAAAAGCCTCTGCTTCAATGCGCGTCCAGACACGTGTCGCCCGTGTTATGTTTGCCAGTCAATTGCCGCGGGAGGCGTCCCCACTCTTTCATCGCGCTTTTCGGCAGCGCGACCACACGCATACACGCGGACGCGACTCTCCCTTCTTGTAGGCTCGTTAGTAGACATGCCGGGCTCTCTCTCTTACCTTACACTTCGACGTTGTCGGCTGCTGCAGGCCGCTGTACAATATAATGTGAATTCAAATATAGTATAAGTATATAAATTGTGTACATGCATGTGTGGGAAGAGAGAGACATAACGAATGAATTAAATTCGTTATAGTGTAAAGTAAAGACATTAAAGCAAACTAAATAAAAACATACTCAAATAGTTAGAATTAATATAGACATTATGGCTACACCAACAAAAACAGCGAAGATAATAATAGCAACAAATCCAGAAGAATCTAAAGATTTGCAAACAGAAAAATGGAAAATCATGAGAAACAAATGAGCAAGGAATAGTCCAGATGAAAATGAAATAGTATAGAAACGACAAACACAAATCAGTGACTACTGGTTAGGTAATACAAGTAATAAGCTGGAAGTAAGCAACCAGTATGAAATATTGTCAGAAATAGAAACCGAGGAAAAAGTTAATAAAAACACAGGTAAAAAAACTCTTTATTACAAGGGGGGGACAATAAGTTTTTACAAAAAGAAGGAAAAAAAGTTTTGCGTATGTAATTTTTTTTATTTTTCAACATAATCTCCTTGAAGGTCGATAAATGTTATTAAACGGCATTCCAGTTTTTTCAAGCCATCAGAAAAATATGATTTCTGAAAACCCTCAAAATAAGCATTTGTTTCGGCGATAACTTCTTCATTCGACATGAACCGTTGTCCGGCAAGCCATTTTTGAGGTTAGGAAATAAGAAAAAGTCACTGGGAGCCAAATCAGGTGAATATGGTGGATGGTCTAATTGACCATCGTTAATTCGAACTTTAAATCGTTAATTTTTGCCATCGAAACTGCACACGTGTGAACTCGAGCATTGTCTTGAAGAAAGAGGCATTTTTTTAATTCAAGTGAGGACGTTTTTCTCTGATTTTTTCTTTCAGCTAACCTAATAATGACGCATAATATTGTCCAGTGATCGTCTGGCCCTTTTCCAAGTAGTCGATGTAGATGATTCTATAAGCATTCCAGAAAATCGTGGCGATAATCTTGCCAGCTGACTTTACTGTCTTTGCCTTCTTTAGGGCTGATTCTCCTGCGGTAATCCATTGTTTGGACTGTTCTTTGGTTTCAGGAGTGTAGCGGTGTACCCATGTTTCGTCTACAATTACAAGTCGGCAAAATTGAAATGATTGCACCCTTTGATACCCCTGTGGCCTTAACTAATTCTCGCAGTTTTAATCTTCTATCACTCAACACCATATCGTGGATTTTGTTGACCATGTCGGGCGTACTCAGTTCTATGGGGTGTCCTGAACGAGGTTCATCTTTTGTTGTACGGCCGCATTTAAATTCATTTACCCACTTATAAATATTAAAACTATAAGTATATGGATGTTATGCGTGTGTGAAATAATGTATACTCCGAATGTGTATGCGTGTGACAAAGATGGCAAACAGGGAGAGCGCCAGCAGCGCTGTGCTCCGCATCGCGGCTGTCGCCACGCCTATGACTTGACGGAGAGAGCTCGTAGAAGCCTGACGCGCTTGTTGCTACTTGAGTGTATTTCTTCGCGTACGGCTGTGAGCCGTATACTTCATTGTATTTCTTTATATCTGACCTAACTTATTTTGCTACAATAAAGATAACTCCACATACGTGTCCGCTGTTTATTTATTTAATAATTCTCACTAGACGAAAAAGTCCGTTTAATAATAAACAGTCTTAAACACAGAGGCAGACTTGCCATGAACGGCGTTCAACTCAACTGTGATTTCTTTTAGTGTAAGGCCTTTAAAATGAAAATGTTTTATCACCGCTTGAAACTCTGTTTTTTCCATTTTTCAAATAAACCAATAACTTTTTGTTCAACCTACGCTCACAAAAAACAACTTAATGAATCGAGTTGAAACTTTGTACGATATCTAGTTAGTAGTATTGCTTGCCAAAAATATTTTAATTTAAGTTCGCAGAATATCCGAAATGTTGCACATCGGCTTACATAAAAACACTTTAAATAGAAAAGAGGATACACAATATCTTAATCTTGTTTATAAGCCTTTATTAAGATTGATGAGGAAGGGATGATAGATGAAAAATATATATATATATGTGTTGAAATACTTGATTTCTTACTGTATTGTAACGTATCTGGCTACGAGCTATTCGTTTTAGCCTATAATAATTTGACTACGAGAGAAATCAGGTACACACATATACATATAATTATATGCCATTAAAATTACATTTGCAACTTTATTGTCAATAATTTGTTGTTTTTCTGTTAATAAAGCTTGAAGAGATCAGCAAATGTGCTGACGAAACGTTGCTGAACATAATTAAAATTAAGTGAATTTTCATCTCTCACTATTACCCTTCTTTCCATTATTACAAAATTTATCATTGAAGAAAATTATAAGGGAATGAAGATAGTATGTTACATATTAACAAATATTAAACACAGAATTTCCAAACAACCACTACCGATATTTTTCGTTGAAATAAAAACAAAAGAGAACGACAAAGAAATATACGAAATAGATAAATTAATGCAACAAATTATCAGTTTTGAACCCTTTCATTAGAAAAGAGAAATTTCACAGTGCATGCGATGCCAAGAATACGATCACACCAAAAATTACTGCCACAGAGCACCAGTCTGTGTAAAATGCGCACAAAATAATTTGTCAACTAACTGTCCAATTCAAAACAAAATAAAAGAGGTTAAATGCGTAAACAGCGGTGGAAATCATGTAGTCAGTTATAAAGGAAGTATTGCAAGAAAACAACTCTAACAAAAACTGTTTCCTGTACTAAGGCCAAAACAAGTAGAAAATATAGTAAACGCAGTTAGACCAAACATCTCTTATGTGCAGACCGCTGGCTGCAATACGTTCATAACAGAAAAAGAACCCATACAATCACAGACATCTCAACCAACAGTAAATAACAACGACAATCGATT